CTTAACACTATAGATAAGAATTGTGTTGCAGTTACTAGTCAAGGCAGGAAAACATCAGGCTCCTGTGGCCTCTGATTCCTACGCAGGAATCCCGAACCACAAAGGGATGACAGGCGCCTGTCCCCAAGACCAGAGTGCAATGCAGAGATGACGTCACCTGGGCTCTTCCTGCCTGTGAATGTTGCCAGTTGGTACCTGTACTCCTCGTTTCTCTACTTTTGGTTATGAATGTTGGGGTTTCCACCTGCATTTAGGGGAAAATTGTGTTCTGTGCTTTCTGGTATCTTGTTCTGAGGTACACTAGTTCTGTCTTTCAACCAAGAAAATAGATTTGTGGTGTTCTTTTCTTGACCTTACAGTCTCCTTAGCAAATACAGGCGGTTGAATAATTGTTTCAAGAGCTAAACAATGACAAGCTTCATTTCTAGACTAAGACATTTCTCAACAGCTGTATCATGTACAATGGATCTTTTGGGGTTTTTTGTTTTGTTTTGTTTTTCCCTTTTTTTCCTTGTGTTCTTCCAAGCTTCTGGTTAGAGAAAAAGCGGGGGTGGGGGAGGAAAATGTGTCTAAAGTCCATCAGTGTTAACTCCCTGAGACAGGGACGAAGGAAAATACTTTAATAGTTCAAAAAATAATAATGCTGAAAGCTCTCTACGAAAGACTGAATGTAAAAGTAAAAAGTGTACATAGTTGTAAAAACAAAAAAGGAGTTTTTAAACATGTTTATTTTCTATGCACTTTTTTTTATTTAAGTGATAGTTTAATTAATAAACATGTCAAGTTTATTGCTGCACTTGGCTTAGCTTCCTTTTGGCCTTGGTGGGGGGCAGGGAAGGGAGGGGCATTTGATTGGGTTACTAAGTGCCCAGACCTCCCTTCTTTAAGATGGTTCCCTTACCTGGGGTGTCATCCACTGAGTGGTGATGTGTATCTGTGACCTCACAGGTTCTGGATCAAAGGACTTTGTTTCTGTCTACCTATAGCCTCTAATAGGAGGCTAGTGGTTTCTAAACCCGACGATAATAAAATAAAAGCATTTGGTCCGGTCTGTGCTCCACTCCACCTTAAGGCCGAAACAGGGTTTGTTTATTCTGTGTTAAGGTTCAGTTGGGAAATACTGTAAAACCACCAGACCAGGTCACTAACCCTAGCCATGGAGGCTGAGCCAGGGGCTGGAAGACACCCCTTTTGACTTGGCAGTCGTGCCAGAGCAGAGCCTCCTCCGTTCACAACTGCCCCTGAACGCCCTACCCTGTTCCCACCATCTTCCCCTGTATCCTGAGCTACCTTTTGAGACCTTGGAGCTGAGCACCATGGGGACTCCAAATGATCAGGCAGTGCTGCAGGCCATCTTCAACCCCGATACCCCATTTGGAGATGTCATTGATTTGGACCTGGAAGAAGCAGAGAAAGAAGGCAATGAAGGTAAACCTTTGACCTTGGCATTGTCTGCCTCCCCGTAGGCTGACGAGCAGGCCCCCAAGGTTCCCTAAGGATGAGGTGAGGCAGGACCCCTCAGTCCACCCTTGCAGATTACGTTAGGAGTTGTAACCAGAGAGGTCCTCTGAACTTCAATGCGTAGGATTGCAGAAATGACTGTCGAGAGAAGGCCAGAGTTTGTCTCTCATTCACCCTCACACCACTAAACCTACCACTAATCTTCCCATGATCCAAGCTTAACTGTGCTGGCTGAAGTCAAGCTCTCAAGTCTTTGACAAAGGGGATGTTACACGTCCTCCCCTGCCCCAACAGGGATGGACAACAAACAGGACAGGATGGTGGCTCAGTTGAAACCCTGACATGACATCAGAGCTTCCTTTGTTCAGCACTATTACAAGCCAGGCCCTGAGCTAGGTAGCTGCTGTCCCACAAGGGAACAGCATGGTCCATTGCCTAATAAGAAAGATATTTGGGGCTTTGCTTCTGCCCAAGTGAAGCCTGAGCCTTACTGAAGCTTCAGACTGAAAACCTGAAGGACAGATCTGGAGTGATTTTCACAACCTGGGATTGTTACAGTGGTCTGTGTCAGGCAGTGTAAAGCAAAATGAGGACGAGCCAAAGAAAAGAGTTCAGTTCTAAGCTCCCCAGCCTGGGACTGTGGTCTAGTCTAGAACACGCCACCAATGAACAAGTTGTTGAGCCTCTCTCCACCAAGACGAGCCATCCAGTATCCCTTTCGGGTCTCTTAGCCAGTGCTAGTTCCCAGTTTTTGTGACCTCAGCTACTCCTATCCCTGACTCTGCAAGTCACCTCTGCTGTGATCCACACCCAGTCAGCTCTGGTTCAGGTGTCTGTGTCATAATGTCGAAGCCCACAGTGGCTTTTGTTTTTCAATTTTTTTCCCTACCGTGCACGTCCCCACCTTGTTTCTTCCCTGGTACAGATGGCATTTTCCCTCAAGCACAGTTGGAGCAGTCCAAGGCCCTGGAGTTGCAGGGAGTCAGGGCAGCAGAGGCTGGGGACCTCCACACAGCCCTGGAGAAGTTTGGCCAAGCTATCTGCCTGCTCCCTGAGAGAGCCTCTGCCTACAACAACCGGGCTCAAGCCCGGCGACTCCAGGGGGATGTAGCAGGTGAGGAGGGGAAGACACCAGAGATCCTCCACAGAAAGAATCCCTTCCATGAAGGCCAGAGATGAGTTGGCTGTGGGCTGAGTTTAGTAACACAGATGCTTAGCTCCCTGATGCCCATGTTCATATAAAATCCAAGACGGTATGGATTCTGCTAAGTTCATGAGACTTAGGAAAACCAAGAGGCTGCATTCTGTTCATGGATTTAAGGAACAATAAGAGCCTTGTAGGCAGTCGGTAGGTGAGAAGTAGAGGGTGTGAGTAGAAACCATTCATATAGCAGTTACTGTGGACCAGGCAGGATGCATTCAGCTGGCCTGCAATCATCCTCATGACCACCCTAAAAGGTGTGTGTTGTCATTCCACTGCAGAGATGAAGAAAGGGAAGCACACGGAGGTTAGATAGCTTCCCCGCCCTCCTCCAGCTGAGGAGTGGTTGAGCTTGGATATCAAAGAGGTGGTGGGGCTCTAAATCCTATGGTACTGCTCCCTAGGGAGCTCATAACTAGGTTACCAGCAGGCAAATCTGAGAGAAAGCAGCATGGGACCTCTTCCCGAAGGGTAAATTCTAAAAGATGAGGAATTAGTTGATACAGTCTCTAGGAGCCTAGAAAGCATGCCTAGGTCCTTGGTCCTCAGAGCTCCAGACTGACTGGAGCAGGCCCCATGGAAGGATGGAAAGCCAAGCATTGCCGAGGGGTACAGACACCCAAGGGTGACAAACTACAAGTGTCAGACTGAGAAGGTGATTGTCACTCAAGGATTTAGCTTGGACAGAGAAGGCAACTGGATGAAACCTGATATATTTGGGTCACTGTGACTAGAATGGGGACCATGGGACAGAGAGGAATAGTACCAGGGACTGGAGGCCAGATGGGTATGAAAGTGTTCGCCAGAGACCTGGTAGAGAACCAGCTCGTATAGAGGACTAGTTGGCGGGGGTGTTCCCAGAGCTTAAACTAGAGAATTTGAACTCCATTCTAATGTCAGTAGGAGATACCTACAGAGCTCCTTTTGCAGGCTTGTCTGCCATGGGTTGGTGGTGACAGCCTACAGGTGAAAAGCAGGGAGGTGACTCCACCTGTAGAGACTTGGATTCCAGCAGACTAGGTGTGGAGAGGAAACTGAGCAATGTCTGGGCCCAGAGCTGCTCAGTTTGCAGTTTGGATGGGGTAGGGAACCACAACACCTGACGATGGAAGCTCAGCCTTGCTCCATGATGGTGCTGAGTAATACCAGGGTTCTGGTAGTCGCTTTAGGAGACTAGAAAATACCGACTGAAGCAGGGTCCAAAAAAAGCAGCTGGTGGACTTTTCAAAAACCCTAAGCTGGCTGCCTGAGGTTCTGAGTTCTGACACTCAACCCAAGTATGTTCCTCTGAGAATCACAAAAATAAAACAGGGCAGCCAGCTCTGGCTCCACGACCTCCTTCCAGTGAAATTAGATACAGGGCAATGAAGACCATGGAGATAATGCAGGAGGAAATGAGAAGAGGGCTGCTTTCATAGCCTGCGCTAGAAAAGACGGGGAAAGGTGAAAAGAAGAGACCGACGTTCTAGCAGGAAATACTTGTGTAGGCAATGATCTAATTTTTGAACTCTAGGATTCAGAGTGGGTCGCCAAACACACAGTAGATGCTTAGCTACTGTGGTGTGAGCTATAGCCATTTGGCAGTTGGCAGATTCCCTAATGCAATGACCAAATTCTCTCAGCAACTTTCATGTTTGTTTCCATCAATGGTAGAACATACTAGGAACAAGGCCGGGGCGAGCCTTGGACTTTAATCTCAGTTTTGCACTTGGGTAGTCCCCAAACCAGTTCTATCAACCTTTCATCTCCGTGTTAGGAATAACAATCCCTCTTGGCTCAAAAGTCTGCTACACGAAGGCGGGTTGTGAATGGTGGGGTTGGGTTGTTCGGCGGGTGGACTGGAGCTCGGAGGCCGCACTTCGCTGACCCGCGCCATCTCCCCGTCGACCCGCAGGCGCCCTGGAGGACTTGGAGCGTGCAGTGACTCTGAGCGGCGGTCGGGGTCGCGCCGCCCGCCAGAGCTTCGTGCAGCGCGGGCTGTTGGCTCGTTTGCAGGGCCGGGACGACGACGCCCGCAGGGACTTCGAGCAGGCGGCGCGATTGGGCAGCCAGTTCGCGAGGCGCCAGCTGGTACTGCTCAACCCGTACGCCGCGCTGTGCAATCGCATGCTGGCCGACATGATAGGGCAGCTGCGCGCGCCCAGCAATGGGCACTGAGTGTGGTCGCGGGATGATGGAGAAGGGAACCCTGACCCAACCAAGACCCAATAAAACTTCCTGGACTGCCGACTGTGTCTGCTTTGCGTCCGCCCGCTCACCAACCAGCCTCAGGGTGGGGACCGCGGCGTGGGCAGGACAGGAGCGGCCACCTGCGCGTGCTCGGACAGCGATTGGTCCTGCCTCGCGTGGGCTCCGCCCTTGCAGCGGACTGCGGCGCTCCCCAGACTTAAGCAATTGCTGGGGCGCTGCTCCGGGAGGGAGCCTGGTGAGCCCTTTGCTCCAAAGCCAGGGATGCTCCGGCGACCCCTGGCTCTGCGATGCTCTCGGCCCAAGTCCACCTGAGCGCCGAGAATGGGAAAGGGGTGCATGGCGAAAGATGGGAGGGAGAGCCAGTCCTGGAGGGACCGGGTCAGGAGAAGGACGATACTCTGGGGGAAACGGGAAGGGCGCATGTGGACCGACCCTGTGTGTGTGTGTGTGTGTGTGTGTGTCTGTCTGTCTGTCTGTCTGTCTGTCCCTCTCTGTCTGTCTGTCTGTCCCTCTCTGTCTGTCTGTCTGTCGCTCTGTGTGTATCTTTGTGTGTCTGTCTGTCTGTGGTCAACTGCTGTCAGTGCTGGCTTCTGTGCCCGCAGAGCAGCTCTTCCTTTGGGTCTTGTTGACTGCGCCTGTTTGTGTCCGTGTGTTGGCCACTGTCGGCCAGTCTACACCAGTGCATGGCAAATTCTTGCAGGAATTGCTAGGTCTACCTGGCTGGGACCGAGGCTATACCGTTTTCTCGGCAGCCTAGAGGCCTATCCCTGACCGCCATGGAGTTGCCTCTGAGCCAAGCTACCCTTCGGCACACACTACTGCTCCTGCCAGCCCTCTTAAGTTCAGGTACTGTTCATCCTTTGACCAAATATTTAAGAGGCCAGAGTCCCCTCTTTGCCTGTATCTCCTCCTTTAGCCTGTATACCCACTCCAAGCTAAAGCTGGGTTCCCCTATTCCCACTTCTCTCCCGTAAGTCCAATAAGCCCCTGGTGAGAGAAACCAGGTTGCCTGTCTCTTGGCTTGCTGCCCCTCTGTAACAGTACTTCATCCTGGCCTGTCTAAGCCTCTTCCAGAAGCTACCTACTGTGTTCCAGGACAGGGGGAGCTAGCACCACAAATTGACGGTCAGACTTGGGCTGAGAGAGCACTTCGGGAGAATGAACGCCATGCCTTCACCTGTCGGGTGGCAGGGGGATCTGCCACTCCCCGATTAGCCTGGTACTTGGATGGTCAGCTACAGGAGGCCACCACCTCAAGACTACTGAGTGTTGGCGGGGAGGCCTTCTCTGGAGGCACCAGCACTTTCACTGTCACTGCCCAGCGTGCCCAGCATGAGCTTAACTGCTCCCTGCAGGACCCAGGGAGTGGCCGGCCAGCCAACGCCTCTGTCATTCTCAATGTGCAATGTAAGTATTCCTGAAGTGGACAAGGGGAGATGTTCCTGGACCCCTAGCAGAACAGTTTTTGAGTGTTTTGTTTTGAGGTCTTACTACATAGCCTAGGCTGGCCTCGAACTTGCAAATCTCCTGTCTCAGTCCCTAGTGCTGAGATTTCTGGTATGCATGAGACATTCAGCTTTAACAGGACATTCACAAACATTAAACACTTTGCAAATGTAGCTTGCTTTAGCCTCACTGATCTTATAAGGGGGTTTCTTTTTTTGTCTCTATTTGACAAATGAGAAATTGAGGCACAAACATGTTAAACAGTCTGCCCAAGGTCAAACAGACCTTAAGAAGCAGGACCAGGATGCAAATCTATGGAGCTTTTGTCTGGCTTTATATTCTTTTTTATTTTTATACTTTGAAACTTTCTTCAAACCTACTATGTAGCCAAGGATGACTGTGAACTTCTCATCTTCTTGCTTCTTCCTCCCTAGTGCTAAGATCTAGGCAGGTACCACCATGCCTGATATAAAGACTGAACCCAGGACTTTGCACATGGTAGGCAAAACACTCTACCAACTGGGCTACAACCTTAGCCCAGATTTTTTAAATTTTAAGGCAGAGTCTTGCTATGTATCCAAAAGGGGCCTCACTGGAAATCTCCCCATCTCAGTTTCCAGAATGCTGAGATCGCAGGCATGATGACCACATGGCTTTATGCTTTGCGAGGTATCAAGCCCAGGACTTTGTAGGCAAGCACCCTACTGACTGAGCCACACCAACAAGCCCCTGCCTTTCTATCTTGATCACTGTGAATTAATGCTGTGCTAGCAGGCCCAGCTACCTGTTCCTTAATGTTCTTTTTGAGGAGATTCCTAGGCCCTTGCTCCCATCCACGTTTGGGAAGGGCCAGAGTGAGGAGCTGTAATAAAAACATATTATTATTTTCTGCTCTGCTTTAGTTAAACCAGAGATTGCCCAGGTTGGGGCCAAGTATCAGGAAGCTCAGGGCCCAGGCCTTTTGGTAGTCCTGTTTGCCCTGGTGCGGGCCAACCCACCTGCCAATGTCACCTGGATTGATCAGGATGGACCGGTGACTGTCAATGCCTCTGACTTCCTGGTGCTGGATGCTCAGAACTATCCCTGGCTCACGAACCACACCGTGCAGCTCCAACTCCGCAGCCTGGCACACAACCTCTCAGTGGTGGCCACCAATGATGTGGGTGTCACCAGTGCCTCACTTCCGGAACCAGGTAAGCAATGTGCCTGCCAAACTGTCAATCGGGCACAGAGGTCCTGGAATGGAAAGGGAGGACATGTTGCCCTGTGGGTGGCCTTGTGGATGAGTTGTCCCCAGCCACCCTGGGCAAGGACAGAGTAGATGGAGCCATGGCATGTAGGGTTGGGGGTACCGCCCACTTGCAAACTAACCAGTGGACAATTTGCAGGGCTCCTGGCCACCCGAGTAGAAGTGCCACTGCTGGGCATCGTTGTGGCTGGAGGGCTTGCCTTGGGCACTCTAGTGGGGTTCAGTACCTTGGTGGCCTGTCTGGTCTGCAGGAAAGAGAAGAAAACTAAAGGTAGGGTCAGAGGCAGTGGAGGCCAAAGGTGGTGGTGGGATGAGCAGCAGCAAGGGCAGCAGGCAGAGCTGGGCAGAGCCGGGCAGAGCCAGCCATCTCTGACATGTAACAGCACTTGCAGGGCAGGGCTGGGTGAGACTGCCCGCACTGCAGGCAGCAGGGACAGGTACTGGAGCTGTCTCTGGTCCCAGGGCCAGGCCTGGGCATTTGAGAGACTCTTGCATCAAGGGTCTTGAGTCAGACTAGGCAGGGGACAGAGCCCAGCATTGGAGGGCACACTGATTCTGTGGCATGGTTTCTTTGTCCTCAGGCCCCTCCCGGCGCCCATCTCTGATATCTAGGTAATGCTCCCTGGGGCTGGGCAGATGGGCTAAACTAAAACGCAAGGCATGAATTTTAAACAATAGGACAGGTGGTAACCGGGGGCTTCTGGGAGGTCTGGACTGAGCCTCAAAGCGGATGCACCTGCTGGTACCAGGGTCTGTCTTAGCCTTTGTTTATCCTGTAGTGACTCCAACAACCTGAAAGTGAGTAACGTACGCCTGCCACGGGAGAACATGTCCCTCCCATCCAACCTTCAGCTCAATGACCTAACCCCGGATCTCAGAGGTATGTCTGGGACCAGTTCTCTCCCTGTGCTTAACCTTTAGAACTTCTAAGAAAGTTGAAGCAGAAACATGTTTCCTTAGGCACAGCCCTGCCCTGGGCACAATCCCATTTGTCCCCCAACAGGGAAAGCAACAGAGCGGCCGATGGCTCAGCACAGCAGCCGTCCAGAGCTTCTGGAAGCCGAGCCTGGTGGCCTCCTCACCAGCCGAGGTACTGGGCAGAGTCCTGCCCTTCTCCTTACTGTCTCTCCTCATCCCTGTGCTTATATCCAATACCTCTGGGTGCTGGAAGCAGAAAGGGCTCCCTCAAGCTCCACAGAACCAGGGTTACAAAATCCCTGGCATCTCTGACCCACAGGCTTCATCCGTCTCCCAATGCTGGGCTACATCTACCGAGTGTCCAGTGTAAGCAGTGATGAGATCTGGCTCTGAGCTTGAGGGTGAAGCCCCCAGAGCACCCCACCCCAATGTCTCCTTCAAGCCTTCCTCTGCTGGGCCACGTTGTGACCATGAAGAAGCCATGTCACTGCCACCTGGCCCTCCTGGCAGGGGTACCCTGTGGGTCATGCATGATGTATTTCATTGCACTCTAACCTGCAAGGCATAGTCTAGCCTTGGCAAGACCATTGGTCAGAAATAGGCTCCTTGCACTCACTCAGTTTGGGGCCTTGCATGTGGTAACTGGGGCCAGGCAGATGAAACTCTGGCCTAGTGTGTTCAGGTGTCACCCCACATGTAAAAGATGGGCCTACTATATGTTCAATACTAGTATCCTCTGCATCTCATACAGCAGGCAGAGGGATGCCTATGTGGGGGACAGGAGGGTCCCTGCACAACTCAGACGTCCTTCCTATGCTATGCAGCTTTCTCCCCTCAGGGAAAACAGGACCCTGCTAGCTGAATAGAACCAAACTGCCCTTTGCTCAGGAACCAATCCCTTGCCCAGGGACCTCGCCAAGCACAAATTAGTCCCTTTTGCTGCATATCTCTGCCTTTTTGTCCCCACCTCCTCTTGGGCATACACTAGACCTTCTTTACTGGGCATTAGACCTCCACTGGCTGGAGCCCCCACGTGTCAGCCTCTGGTATTAGCACAAGATGAGCAGGAAGAAGTGAGTCTGCTGGTCCCCAGGATGGCACGTAGCTATGCACTGTTTTGTACAAGTGTTCCCCCTTTAAGCACATTCCCTAGGGAAGGAGGGCCCAGGACCTTCTTAGGTTCCCTGTGTTTGGCCTTCAGCGATTCACTGTGAGTGTTCTGAGCACTCAGGATTGACAGTTTCCCTCTCTGCATGTCTCTCCCCAATGTAGCAATATCCCCAACCAGTCCCTGGCTGCCCCATCCTATTTAGGGGATGGTCACAGTGGGCATATAAGCCAACAGTGCCACAAGATTTAGGGGGACACAGAGAAAGCGAGAACCACATAACCCCAAAGAGCTAAGAATCTTTTAAACAGCAACATGGAAATGACTGGAGAGCGATAGAGCAGAGTCTATTTTCCCTCCTTGGTATCTTGTTTGTAATTTTCTCATGTTACTGGCTAGTGCTGCACACACAGTAAACCACCGTGATTGAATAAGTATGTCTTTGTTCATTTCCTCAACCATTTGTATTTGTTCTTTGAGAGGGACTCACATAGTCTCAGCTAGCCTTGAATTCACTATGGGTCGGAGACAGATGAATGGCCTTGAGCATCCAATCTGCCTTCTTCCACCTCTCTAGGGCTCAGATTAGACATGACCACCACCCTGGTTTTCCAAGTATGCTTTAGAACGAGTCCCACCCTCTTTTTCTTTTTGTTGCGCTGGTGATGGAACCCAGGGCTTGGCGCATGCCACGAAAGTGCTTGACTATTAAGTCTACACTGCTAGCACATAAACAGCCTTCTCTCTCTCCCTCTTTTTTAAACATTTCCAAGTTTTATATCCACAAAAGAGCACAGAGGATACTGTCTCATACAAAACACAATAGATTCAGAGAAAAAATATGGAGCACTTCACAAATTCCCGTGTCATCCCATGCAGGGACCAGGTCAATGTGCTCTGTATTAAATGAGTTTTCAATCACACAGCAGGCAGCTGTGTACCCACCAGGAGCAGTTCAGTACCTGGAAGATGAACTGCCATGAGCTGCAGCCAAGGCGGTCTGGTCCCTGAAAACCTCAGGGAGGGTCTGGGTTCCGACCAAGGCATGCCTCCTCTCCTCGTGAGTCAAACACTAACGCTGACGGTCAGAGCAGAGCACCTGGCCTAGTGTCCGCGGCGGTGGCAGCAACAAAGCCTCCAGCCTGACATGATCACAGCTCCTGAGTTTGTGGAAACATGAACTGTGTGTTGGTCTGTCAGGCTGACAGAGGAACCTTCCCTCCAGTCTTGTGATCCCGCTTTCTTCCCATAGGTATTTGGCTTCATTACCCATTGAGTTGGTTAAACCCAAGCTGCCTTTCTCTCCAGCCCCGTGCCTAGTCTATCACCAGGCTCTCTGTTGGCTCTGCCTCTACTGGCATGTCTCTCGAGAGAAGGAGCATTGAAGGAGCAAACAGAGGGGCCTTGCTAGGGTTCCCTCTCCAGCATCTTAGCAGTAGATCACACTCTTTGGGGCTAGTCTTACTCCTGCATATTTGTCCTGGAGCCATGCAAGCCCGTGCAATGAGGTCCCTATAAAAATTTCAAAGGACAGGGCTCAGAGCTTCCAAATAGACAAAGAATAATTCCTTATGCTCATGCTGCTGAATTCTGATTTCTGGCCTGCATTCATGTCTGTCATGGGAGACAGGGAGGTGGGAGAGGAAGCAACAGCTTTGCTCCAAGTCCCTACAGTGGTGGGTGAGGTTCTGCAATCTTCCTTGCTCCTAGCACATAGCCACAGCCAGCTCCTGTCTAGGCAGCAAACTTTAGCTCCATGTACTTTCGCCGGTCTCCATTCTCCCTTCTGTTTTACAGGTTTCCCACACTAAACTTTAAAAAAAATCAGCTGTGTAGCTGGGCGCTGGTGGCGCAAGCCTTTAACCCCAGCACTCGGGAGGCAGAGGCAGGCGGATCTCTGTGAGTTCGAGGTCAGCCTAGTCAACAAGAGCTAGTTCCAGGGCAGGCTTCAAACCTACATAGAAACCCTGTCTTGGAATACAAAAAAAAAAAAAAAACAAAAAAATTATGTGTGTGTGTTTGTGTGTGTGTTCACGGACATGTGTGTGGCTCCCAGAAGACAAGTTCTGGGAGTTCTCCCTTGCCATGTGAGTCGCAAGACCTGAACTAGGCTGTCAGGCTTTGCGGCAAGCACCTTTACCCGCTGTGCCGTGTTGCACATACTTCTGTGACCGATTTGTTGTGTTAAATGTCCTTTGTTAAAACCAACTAGAATGGGCTAGAGAGGTTCTGAGTTCAATTCCCAGCAATCACATGGTGGCTCACAACCATCTATAATGAGATCTGGTGCCCTTTTCTGGCATGTAGGTATACATGCTGGCAGAACACTGTATACATAATAAATAAATAAGAAGTAAAAATAAATTTAAAAAACAAAACACCCAACTAGAATGGTTTCAGGTTTCCTGACTGGACAGTGGCCAATACCAGTTGAAAATAGTTCCTGAATTAATGCTTTACTTCCCCCACTTAAGCAGCTCTTCTCCTAACACTGCCACAGCCGGGCACCCTACGGCCACATGCTCTTGCCTATGCTTCTTAACAACCAATAGTAAGTTAGGCGTCCCCACAACCTGCTCCTCAGGTTTCAACAGCTTGCCGAGCTCAGAAACAGCTTTCCCAGTTTCTCATAAAGGACACAGGCGAAGAGGAGGCATGGTGACCCAGGCCTGTAGGCCTCACACCCGGGAGGCAAAGGGAAGAGGATAATGAGTTTGTGCTAGCCTGGGCTACATAGTGCACTACAGACCACTCTGGGCTGTAAGAGACCCTGTCTCAAATACATTAGTAAGATTATTTTAAAATTTAAAAAGACATGTAAGATGCATGCCACTGCCTCAGCACCTCCCTGCCCCTGACTAAAGTTCCCCATATCCTGACCTTTGAAGTTTTCATGGAGACGTTACACAAAGGCACAGCTGAAACGCGCACCACTATGCTGAATGGTCAAAAATGGTCTCATCTAATGCAGTGGATTTGGGGGTAGGGGTGGGGGTCACCCAGCAGGGTCTGGGAATTCCTCAGTATTGCTTCCTTGCTAAGAAGGCAAGACCCCCATCTAAATAAGGATCTTGATTTATTATCATCAGCCAAGTAGGTCAAAGGATTTGAGAATAAGCTGGGCTTGGCTGAATATGTCTGCAAGCTTTGCACCTGGGAGGTGGAAGTAGCAGCAGGAAGACCAGGTCTTCAAGACCAGTCTGCCCAGCCAGCTCAAAACCAGGCTGGGGTACATGAGACCCTGTCTCACACCCCCAACATAAGGAAAGCAGAAGAATGTAAGACTGTAAGAGCAAATATCTGTGACTTGTCTTGAGGAAGAGATTCCATTTTTGTGGCCTGCCTGGGGAGAAAAGCGAGCAGGGGAAAGGGGGCCTAACTTGGGCCCCCGGCCCTACCCTAGTCACGCTGGAAATCACCAGGGTAATGGGCAGTAAGGAGTCAGGAGCCACGGGTGAAAACCAAATATGTATTCTATCACAACCTATCAGAATATTTTGGGTGTAAATCACTTCCAGCTAACTAAAAGGTGTTTTTGGAAGCTCCACCCCCAACCTGTGTCCTGTGGCTCTCAGAAATCCAGTTCTTCCAACTCAAACGCCCACAGCAGCGTGGATCCATCCTTTCTTGGGAAAGGCAACCAGGCAAGTGGAAGAAACCCAGTGGCAAATGTGCGCCTGCTCTTGCAGACAGGTGGCAGGTCTCGTGCTGGCCAGGCCCAGCAGTGGAGCAGGCAAATGTTAAGCTGCCAACAAAGACCATGTCTTCACCTGACTTTCAAACACAGCCCCAGGAGGCTCAGATGAAGGTCAGTGTCTCTGCATCCCCAGCCTGGGAGGCAGAGTTGGATGGAGGGGTGAACGCTTTCTTGCCTTCAGCGAGAGCTTTAAAATGCTGCAAGAAAGGGAAGAGGACACCGTTTAGAATATGCTAGTTGCTATATTTTCACAAGGATGACCACTGTAAAACCCCTTTAGGCTGAACTGAGCAAGGTGGCACAGGCTTGTAATCCCAGTAGTTGGGAGGCTAAGGCAGGAAGATCACTGTGAGTTCAAAGCTAGCCTGGGCTATACCAAGATTTCCAGGTCAGCTTTGGCTATAGTGAAACATGTCCCAAAATATGTCCTTAGTCTACTTCCAAACTGATACATTGGGTTTATTTTTGAAAGAGACAGTAATGTACCCACCGCCTTCAAAACAACCCATTCTCTTTCCTTCCTGCTTGCATTCATGAGGCTGCTTGCTTCTGCCCGTGGCTCCTCACTAAGCTCCGTCTAAAGCCCATCCTCTCTTACTCCCCTACCCAGTCTTCTCAGCTGCTCACTTAGTCATGGGAAGGGCACTGAGACCCCAAATGAGAATACAATCCCAGCAAGGCCCTGGACAGGACAGCTTTGGTGACCCCGCTGCCTTTCTCACCTGGGAGTTCTTGAATTCTGAGTAGAGGGAAAAGAGCAGGTGCAGGGACTGAATCCGGCTCTTGTAGAAAGGAATGTCCAGGATAGCTGTAACAGAGAAGAGCTCACAGGGACAAGAGAAACACGCTCTGGAACTGGGAGCTCTTCTGTTTAGGATGCCACTCCCCTCCCAAATGGGACAGGATTGTTACTTTAGAGTTTACTATTCAGCCCCAACACCACCCTAGAGAGCTGCTAACAGTACAGCTGGCTTCCAGTGACACTGTAAACCAAGGCACTACTGTGCAGGGATCAGCAAGCCCTTCCAAAGGCCTACACCACAGAGACAGGGCTAGGAAGGATGGGGAGGAGCTCACCACAGATCATGTCAATGTACTCGGCCAGGCTGCAATCGATCTCAACTGTGGGCAGACTCACCTGGAAGCAACACAGGATGAACCACAGTCAAAAGGCTCAACTTTACAGTCAAAAGGGCCTGTAAGCCCAACACCTGGAAGACAACTCACAGAAAATTCTCTATGAGTTTCAGGATAGCCTGGTCTACATACTAAGTTTTAGGCCATCTATATCCACATTGTGAGACTATCAAAAGCAAGCAAACAAACCAAAAAAGGGACTGGAAGCTGGGCAGTGGTGGCATACATCTTTAGTCCCAGCACTTGGAAGGCAGGTGGATCTCTGTGTGTCTGAGACCAGCCTGGTCTACAAAGCGAGTTCCGGGATAGCCAGGGCTACATAGAGAAACCCTGTTTCGGAAAACCAAAAAATAAAAAAGGGACTAGAAAGATGGCTCAGCCATTAAGAACATATATTGCTCTTACAGAGGACCCAACCAGTGAGTAAAACATTAGCCTTGCAAACTCCATACCCTGAGTTCAATCCTCAAAGGTAAAAGGAGAGAGACCACCCCATAAAAGTTCCTTTGACCTCCACATGTACACCAGCATGTTTGCACTCCCCTCACAATTATAATTAATACTGTGAAAACAGCTACACTAGTGGGCATATTCTACAGATATGTAGTTGGATTCTACAGATCCAATGCAATCCCCATCAAAATCCTGGTGACCTTCTTCACAGAACCAGAGAAGACATTTCTAAAATTCATATGGAAACACAAAGACCACAGATAGTCAAAGTAGTCAAAGTAACATAAAAAGAACACAGCCAGAGGTATCACATTACCTTATCTCAAATTATACTGCAGAGCCATAGTGACATAGACGCACGATACCGCCATAAAACAAGACAGTGTAGACCAATGGAGCATGAAAGAGGACCTACAGACACACAGCTATGTACACCTAATTTCTGACAAAGCTGTAAGAAATGTGCACTGCAAGAAAACAGAGTAGACCCATATTTCTCACCCTGCACAAGTAGCAACCCAAATTCATTTCCTTGGAAGTAAAATTAATTTAATTGTAACTCACATCAGATAACACAAGCCAAGATATGGAATGATGAGCCTGACGCACTGATGGAATGCACACTGTGGGGAGAGATGGACCTGAC